TTATTTCTTCCTAATTATCAGTGGTTGTGCATCTCCCAGTAGCTTGGATATAGTTGGTTTTCCTCCCAATAATTCCTGAGAAATAGAAACCCTAATGATCAGATCAGTCGTTGGGAAGTGTGGTCTCAATGTGCAGTTTATTGGGGTTGTCAAAAATTAATTTCAGGATTCAAACTTAAACTGCCATAAGACTGTGGTTCTGAGGCCAAATGCCTATTTTTATGTGACTCTTTCACTATCTATATCATAAGAACTGCATGTTCTTTGTAGTTTAAAACAAAATAATGTTCTTACCAGAAGTCCCGCAATTAAATATTGTTGCAGGCAGCTTTTCTTGCTGCCCATCCATAAGAAGCGAAACGGTTCTCAGACGTGGATTTTTAAACTGTTTGAAGAAATGGATGCAGCTGACCTCTACTGAGAGCCATCTCGGTTCCCAGCCTGCAGCATGCACAGCTGCCTCGCTCTCTCCTTCTGCCCACCTCAGCTTGCCACCCCATCCCTGAGTCTCCCTCGTATTAATTAGTCATTTTATGCTGCCCTAACAAAGTACCACAGACTGGTGGCTTAAACCAGGGGTCCCCCAATCCCTAGGGCCACACACCGGTACCAGTCCCTGCGTGGCCTGTTAGGAACAGGGCCACACAGTAGGAGGTGAGCTGCAGGCAAGTAGGCTAAGCTTCATCTGTATTTGCAGCCACTCCCCACTGCTTGAATTACCAGCTGAGCTCCGCCACCTGTCAGACCAGCAGCAGCATTAGATTCTCATAGGAGTGTAAACCCTATGGTAAATTGTGCATGCAAGGGATCTAGGTTGTGCATTTCTTATGAGAATCTAATGCCTGATGATCTGTCACTGTCTCTCATCACCCCTAGATGGGACCATCTAGTTGCAAGAAAACAAGCTCAGGGCTCCCACTGATTCTACATTATGGTGAGCTGTATAAGTATTTCATTATGTATTACAATGTAATAATAATAGAAATAAAGTACCCAATAAATATAATGTGCATGAATCATCCCAAAACCATCTCACCCCCTCCCCGAGTCCGTGGAAATGCTCTCTTCCACAAAACTGGTCCCTGGTGTCAAAAAAGTTGGGGACTGCTGGTTTAAACAACAGACATTTATTTTCTCTCAGTTCTGGAGGCTAAAAGCCCAAGATCAGCCTGCCAGCCCGACTGGGTTCTGGTGAGGTCTCTGTTTCTGGCTTGCAGATGTCTGCCTTCCCGCGGTGCCCTTACATGGTAAGAGAGAGCTCTGGTATCTCTTCCTTTTCTTCTAAGAGCACCCGTTCTCCTGGGGCAGGCTCCAGCCTTATGACCCCATTTAACCTTCATTACCTCCTTTAAGGCCCTATCTCCAGTATAGCCCACATGAAGGGTTAGGGCTCCAACATATGAATTTAGGGATGGGATACAGTTTATAGCACGCCTGGCCCTGGCACACTGATGCTCTTATTCACCATGACACACCATCTTTTCATGAAAAAAAAGTTTTGAGGAAGCTGTGCTGGGAGAGTGGCTGGTGAGTAGCAGGGCTCCCCCAGTTCACAGGCTATGTCCTTTTTGCAATGTGCCTCCTAATATCGCTTTGTCAGGTGGACCCTTTGCAGAGGCCAAGGCAGAAATTTCTCAGGGACGTTGTGGGGGTTGAAAGAGTAGGGAAAGCGTTGTTTTGCCAGAAGTGTCTGTGATTTTCTGAGCAAAGGGTGGCTCTGATTAGGAAAGGTGGGGTAAACTGAAAACATGGACAAAACATGGACTCCTAAGGGGCTGGCCTTAAGAGGGGACTGTCACCTGCATCATGGGATCCGAGGAACACTGAAAATGTTCAAAATACCTCACTCCTTGGCCTGGTGCTGACACTAAAATTTCACCACTAGAGGGACAGTCCATCAGATTAAGGAAAAGAGGATCCATGTAGTTGTCAGCTAATAGAAAATGGAGGGAGGAGAACAAAACATTGCTTGTCATTTTCTTCCTAGACTGTAAAAGCCGAAGGGAAAGAAGAAGCATTTTGCTCACTTTTGAACTCCCACCACACTTAGTACGGTTCCCTGAGTAAAAGCGGGTGCTCAGTATATCTTGAGTGACCTCAGAGGATTTCGGTTCCTTTTGCATTCACATGCCAAGTGCTGAGTAAAACCTATTAACTTTACTGTTATTTATGTCACCAAATATATTTGTCCATTTCATTTTCATCGCTTGAACCAAACTGGGCGTGGATGCCATGCAAGGCCAAGCATTAAAACAGCCCCAGAACGGTCACATTTATACACTCAGTTCTTTCTAGTCTTCTCCCCCAACTTTGTGAATATTTTAAATAATGGAATACAAGCTATTTTCTATTTAGTGTTGCTATAACTAGAAATTATTCTGGGCTACAGTAAAAGCACGACTGATGTGTGATTCACTTTGCAAATAAATTTACTGTTTAGGCTTTTAGCCATGGATTCATTTACTGTATTTTCAGATTGTTTTTATATGAAACAGTTAAATGCTCTGCTTTCTTCACTTTGTAGTATTGGAGGTGTTTCCATTCTGAAACTATATCTCTTAACTAGACAAGTCGATTAGAGAAATGAGCAAGCTAACAGGGTCAAAAGAAGGTCTTGCCCTGAAGGCACAGATGAAGTGTTCAGCTGATGGAGAGGTAAGGAAGAAAGAGAAAGTTACAGGCCATAGGCAGGGGAAGGCAGAGTCTGGTTATTTGTACCTCATACACGCCTAACATGTGGACTCTTCTCTAAATACTGATGTAATTGTTTCTTGAACTAGCAAGGGCTCATCTGGTTGCAAGAAAAGGATAGAACCCCCTTAAATTAGCTCAGAAAAGGGGCTCTGTTCAAGGACACATCTCTTGTGGAATCCATGGAAGTGCAGGGGGAAAATAAAAATGGGACAAACAGGACTCGGAGGACAAATTAGGGCTTGTCTGGGATTCTCTGCACCAGAAGCTCCCAGACATTCACATCAGCTACACAATTAAGGTGTCTGGGCTCTTAACTCCCCCTGTCTCTGTGACTTGGTCCCTTGCTACTCAAAGTGTGACCCTGGGACCAGCAGCCTTGGCATCACCCAGAAACTAATTAGAAATGCAGAGTCTCAGATTCCACCCCTGCGCTATTGAATCAAGATCTTTATTTTATCAAAGCTCCCAGTAATAGGCTAGCCACTTGGCAGCAGACTTGCCACCGCTGTGGCAAGAGGCTACTCCTGATCGAATTCTGGGGAGATAAATGAACCAAGGTCATGGGCATAAAGAATAGTTAGGCATTGCAGACAAACTGCCCTACTGTATATGTTAAGTGTGTTTTGAGCTAAATTAAACCTGTATCCATTCTGAGTGTTTAATTTCCCAAAGAGTCTACACTCTGTACCCATTGGTACCATCTTGATGCACATCTCTTGAAATTAAGCATCCTTGTTTCTCAGATGACTAGAAACGTCAACTGTCATTAGCAGAGTGAACATTTGGTCCTTTATAAACACTGTTGTCACACCAAAAAAAAACGAATGTAGTGCATATATACAAGAAAAGCAAAAAGCAACCTCTTTATAATTCTTACCAGTTCAGTGATAAAGTAATGATCTCTCATGACCTCCTTTCTTCTCTAAAATCTGAATCTCTCCAAAGCAGCATCTTCACTGATGCTTTAATCCCAGGCGGTGGTTTCCATACCTGGAGGTATAGAACAGAGCTGTATGTCATTTTCTCCTCAGGATTTAAATTTAACTTGAGAAGGCAAGCCTGTGGGTAGCTAATTTTTTTTTTTTTTTTTTTTTTTTACAATTGCAGGTACCTGGCACTATTCTGATTAATTTCCAAGCCGATTAAAAAAGAGTCCAAAAGATTGGCAAGCATTGTTTCCTGCCTTGAGGAGCACAGAACTGGCTGGGGAAGCCCCCAAGCAAACTTCTGAGTTGAGAGACATGCCAAAAAAGAGAGGAAGGTGGTGAGCACAGGGTCAGAAACAAAATCGGCACAGTTTCTCTCTCTTTCCCTCTCTCACCTCATATAACAAGCACCAATCTTTCTGCGCTCTAGTTTTCAGCACACAGAAATTTCTGGTTCTTATCTACCAGCATCCAGAAATACAGAAACCACTCCAGTATCTCAGATGCGGGATTTCCACTGCAGCCCATTTAGTGTGTGCTCCGCATTTCACACATACTAAATGGGCCCTGTTTCTCAGGGCTACCCGGCCTGAACCCTGCCCTGGGCTCCTGAGGCGCCTGCCCTAACCACACCCTCCTTGTTAAAAGAGACATTGGCCACTCCCCTTTGTTAAGGATATTCAGATGCTACCACTTGGTAGAGAAATTAGGACCTAAGAGAGGCTCCGTCTTTGATGTCATTTTACAAATACATAAATACAAGGAAATAGAGGGAAGGAAAACTTCAAGGAAAAATATATTAAAACAGTGCCTAGAACAGCATCCTTAGGCAGATGCCTTTTCAAACCAGGTAGTTCTGGTGAACGTTTCCAATATGTGCCAAGAGGTGGGTACTTGATCCAATTGAGCCAGTGATGAAGTCTCATGCTTTGGTCACTGTGATTGGCCCAGGAATAAACATGTGACCCCCATACAGCCAATCAGAATTCTCCTCTGGTCTTTTCAAACTTGAGCTTAGGAGAGAGGACCTTTCCTCTCCAGTCTTGGAACTGTAAATGTGGGAGGCTGGAGCAGCTACGGCTCCAGCCATCTGAGAAGCCAATGTGAGCAGATAAGCTGATGCTCAGAGAAGCCAAGACCAGCAGGAACAGAATTCCTCATAATGTTCAAGTCCCTGGTTCCAGTTGTCCCTAATGTTGACACCGCCCCTCCCTTCTAGTTCCATTAACCAGTAAATCCTCTTTTCCGCGTTCTCTAGTTCAGTTTCTTTCACTTGCCACCAGGAGACGGCTAGCAATTATTTCCAGTCACTCTCTTGCTGCGATAGCTGCCCTCAGCAAACCCCTCTTTTTAAAATAGAAATGCCTCCTCAGGGCGTCTACCACAACCTCTGCTGTCTCAGAGCTGGCCTTCGCTGCCGCCGCCCCCACCACTGCCCCCGCAGCCATCGCCACCGCTTTCACCACCACCGTCACCTCTGCCGCTGCCTCCTTGGGGCCCTCCTCCTTCACCGCCCCCTTCGCCACCTCTACACGTTCAAGGCCTTCTGTCCTGGAGAAGAAGCTATGGTCGGTCTCCCTTGCGGGCCCGGGGCAGAGCCATGGCGGACCGCGGCGGCGGCGGGGGAATGGGCGCGGTGGGCAGTGGCGGAGCCGGCCAGGCCTCTGCCGGGGCAGCGACTGGTGCTACTGGGGACAGCGGGGGCGGTGGCCCAGTCAACCCGGCCTCGCTGCCTGCCGGCGACCCGCTGCTCATCGGTCTCATCGTGGAACAGCTCAAGAGACGGGGCTTTTTGACAGCTTCCGCCGGGACTGCCTGGCCGACGTGGACACCAAGCCAGCTTACCAAAACCTGAGGCAGAAAGTGGATAATTTTGTGTCAACACATCTGGACAAGCAGGAATGGAATCCTACAATGAAGAAAAACCAATTGCGAAATGGTCTGAGGCAGAGTGTGGTTCAGTCAGGGATGTTGGAAGCTGGGGTAGACAGGATTATTTCTCAGGTGGTGGATCCAAAACTTAACCACACCATCAGGCCACAAATAGAACGAGCAATTCATGAGTTCCTGGCGGCCCAGAAAAAAGCAGCTGTGCCAGCACCCCCACCAGAGCCCGAAGGCCAGGACCCTCCAGCTCCATCTCAGGACACTTCCTAAGAATATGCCTGACACCTTTTGAAAGCTAATTTCTGGTGAAGAAGTGGATTCGGTTGTGTAAGAGTGCAACTTCAGACCGAAGATAGGCCAAGGTCATCACTGATCTCAAGATTCAACCTTGACCATGGGCAGTGACCAGATTGAAAGGGGAGCAAGTTCGGCAGTGGGAAAGTTGACCGTGTCGCCCCCTGCATTGTGCTGCCATTTGGCCAGCCTGCCCAAGGGCATGACACCAAGTAGACACTACACAGAGAAACACTACAGCAATCCAGGGTTGTCCTGAAACAGACTTTTATACTTGAACATGGAGACTGCGAGTGCACTTGAGGGTTTGTACTGTGGAATAAACGGAAGCTACAGTGAGAACATAGCCAGTCCCAAAGACAATTTCAAAGAACAATGACAGAAAGTTTAGCTGGGAGTAGTCTTTGACAGTGTTTATTTGATACTGTCTCTCAGAGTTTGCAAACCAGATTGTACAAGTCATTAGCATCAGATAGCTTTAAAGTTGTGACCTTCTTGTACATGAATCTTCTAGCCAGTTTCCTTTCCTTTGTAGTAGGTAATGAGACATGAAATCCTAGAATGTGTGAGAAGTTCAGACATTAGACATAAGGAAACTCGTTTGCAGGCTCTCTGTCCAGGGCTGCTTCCTGTCCTGGAGGGGCCACTGAGTCTTAGGTATGTTTATTTTATCCTCACATTTGTGTTTTTTTAGAAAAGTGAATGATCAATAAATGGCTTATCTTTCATAATAAAATCATTTGATTTGATACTCTTAAAAAAAAAAAAAAAGAAATGCCTCCTCAGAAGCCAGAGGAGTTGCTAGAGTAAACAGATCCACACCATGATGCAGTCAGAAGATCTGGACAGCTACAAAGAGCAGGAAAGGGGAACTAGAAACAACTGGCAAATATGTTATGTCAGGATCAAATTGCCATTTTTACACAAATCTTTGTTATTAATGGAATATAGTATTCCTGGATTCTTCTCGCTATAAGGATTGCACGCACCACACTCACATCTGTGTGTGGAACAAGCCAGAGGGTGACCTACACTCACTATAGAAAGCGTTCAGTAGGCCCTTGCCAATGCAGAAGACGGCAGACTGAACTAGACATCAAAGACT